ATTCATCTGTGATCTTGAATGTCTTTTCTCTTCTTGGAGTTCAGAATTAATCCCAATTGGGAGGACATTCCTTAGTAAGCTACTTTCCAGTGAATTTCAAAAAGGATTATGCTGTTAAACTGAAAGCAAAACAAAACAAAAGGTATGAATTTTATTTACTTAACAGTAAGGTTTTAAATTAAAAATAGTACAATAAATCTCAAAGTAATAACAGAGATCCCTCTCCACATATTTCTTAGTTTATATTTTAATTTATTATTTATTTATTTCATTCTTTTTTTTTAAATTTTGAGTCCAAAATCTCTCCCTCCCTCCTTTACTCTCAGAAAAGGCAAGCAATTGTGATATCAATTTTACTTGTGAAATCATATAAAATGTTTCCATATTAGCCACATTTCAAAAAATGCAAAAAAAATTAAGTGAGAAAACTATACTTAAATTTACACTCAGTTCATCAGTTCTCTCTCTAGATGTGGATAGAAATTTTTTTTTTAATCATGAGGCCTTTGGAATTGTCTTGGATCATTTTATTGATCAGAGCATCCACATTGTTTCACAGTTGATCATCCCTACAACATTGCTATTACTGTGTATGATAACATAAAGATAAATAATTTCAATGTTGTAAGGCTTGTTCTTAGGTGATTATTCCACCTATCACTCATAGTAAGAAAATGACTCTTCAAAGTGTGGCTAATATATCTCTTTTCTAATGCTATATATGCTCCCCCCCCCAAACGGTGTACTGTTGAGGATGAAACATGGTTGATTATCAATTAGTTAGCCAGACAAACAGGTTTTAGAAAGAAGTACTTAATTAGATAAATAGTAATATACTTAATACAAATCTATTCCCCTAAAGCCTCTCTCTCTCTCTCTCTCTCTCTCTATGTATATATATATATGTATATATATATATACTATTTATGTATGTTTGTGTATATATAGAGTCTATATATACACAGTGTATATATATATGTATATACACACACACGTATAATGTTTTATATTTTGCAAAGCATTTTACAAATACTACTTCATTTTAAAATGTTAAAATATTTTTCATTAAATATTTCCCAATACTATTTAAAAAACTAACATTCACAACTTAACATTCTGAGTTCAAAATCTTCTCCCTTCTCTCCCCTCCTCCCTCCTTGAGAAAGCAAGCAATTTAAGATTGATTATACATGCACTGTCATGTGCATCTCCACATTAGCCATGTTTCAAAAGAAAACATAGAAAAAAAGAAAAATAAAGTTGTTTTATTTTTAAGTATGCTTCAATCTGCAGTCAGAGTTTATCCGTTCTCTCTCTGAAAGTGGATAACATTTTTCATCATGGATGCTTCAGGAATGTCTTCTTCTGAAAATTACCTGTTGATATATGTTGACCATTTATCTACTGGGGTGGCTCTAATTTTATAAATTTAGCTCAGTTCCCTGTGTGTTTGGGGGGTACTTAATAAAAAAACTCAGAATAAATGAATGAATGAATAAATGAATGAATGAATGAATGAATGAGGACTTTGCAAGGCAACTTGGCTATTTGCATTTTCAAAGGTCCAAAAGGGATTGTGCTCAAGAGGAATAACTCTCCCCTGAAAAAAACAATTTTATTAACAGCACTAATGCTACATTTTCTCAGGATACTCATGCCATCTTATGTCAAATTCCTTTAGTGGTAACTAAGTGAGGAATTATTTTCCACCCCATAACAATGTACTAAGTATCTATTATCTGTTAGGGGAATATAAACAAAAAATGGAAGATTCTCTGTTCTCAAGGAGTTTGCATACTACTGGGTGGACACAACACCAGAATGAGTAAATAGAAAGATAGATACAATATTATAATGTAATTCCTAGAGAGAGACTATTAACAAATAGGGAAGGTATCTGAGCTGTTGGCTGAGGAAATAAAATAGAGCAGTTGATTTGCCCATGATGTTAACCATATTCAACTCCCAACTTACATAAGTCTCCAAATTATTTGTCTCTCTGCCTTGGTCAAAATAGAGTTTACCTTGAGACTTCTCTACAGAGATGAACTAACAGGTGCAAGTTTGAAAAAAGGATAAAAATTAAAAGAATGAAAATGAAATGTTAATTCTCTTCTATGACTGGGCTGCTTTAAGCAGGGCTGAGTAGGAACTCGGTGAGAAAACTTGGAAACAACACGTAGTTCTGAGCCATGGATGTGACCAGGATAGGACCTAGATAGATAGGATCATAAATAAAATTGTAGGCAGAGGTTCTATAATTTTGTTCCAAAAAGGATATTTAAAAAAAATTGAACTAAGGAATCATTAATAGAGATGCAAAGAGCCTTAAATACCTCCAAAGCCCTTGACACATAACTGTAGTTTAGATAAAACATTAAATGTACAGAATGATAAACATGAAGTTTAATATGGGATAAATATGCATACTAGCTGTGTGATCCAAGACAAGTCACTTCATCTCTTTCAGATTCAGCTTCCTCATCTGTAAAATGGTATGCACCTACCTCACAGGGTTGTTAGGAAGATCAATAATGTTATATGTAAAATTATTTGTAGACATTAAAGCACTATATAAATGTTTGTAGTAGTAGTAGTAGTAGTAGTAGTAGTGGTAATAGTAGTGGTAGTAGTGATAAGGTCTAGAGGTTAGGGTTCTTGGAGTCCCAAAATCATGACACGTGGGTCCTGCCTGAAAAAATTCCACCCAAGCCTTCTTTCAGCCAAAAACAAGATTTATTGAAGATTAGTCATATTAGCTATACTCTTCAGGAATCTGAGCATCTGTGGGCTATTGGCTAGATTGAGAAAGTCTGTGCAGTGGCTATATGGTAAGAATCCCAGCATCTTAATGGAGACAAGATGGACCTTATATACAGAAAGCCTGTGGGAGGGATCTTGGAGTGGCCAAGTAGTTTGGGGTGAAGGGAGGAGATAAAGGAGGCATAAAGGAGATCTGGGTGGGAATGGCCAGTAAGCTGGGGTGAACAGAACTCCTGGGACCTGGACAATGGAGCCTAGCTAGGAGTAAGTGTGGGAAATGGCCAGGAGCCATATATAGGGAGGTAAAACAAAGGCCAGGCTAGGTTAAAGGTAACAGAATTGGGAGATTGGGTGTAGCCACAATGAAAGGCCAGTTGATGGGATTATAGCCTCAGGTGAACACCAGAGATTTGGCCATGTGGGAAAGTCCAGGGTGTTTCCTTTCTGGGACCCAGAACCCAACCCCATCAGTAGTAGTAGTAGTGATAGTAGTAGTAATACTAATAATTATTATTATGTGGGGAAATCATAAGCTGTCTTAGGTATCAACTTCACCCCTTAGGTGCTGGGAAAATATTTCCATTTTATAGGTTTGGTAACACCAGCTGTGAAAGATAAATTAGATAACAATGATCAAAAGAATACTCATTGTTCTTTCCCCTTCAAATAGTACTTCTAAGTTTAGACAGTCTCCACATACACACAGCTGGTGAGAAAATCTGACCTCCTGATGGGCTCCATTCTCCTTTCCAGGTCCTAGGAGTTCTGTTCGCCCCCAGCTTACTGGTCACTCCTAAGTCCCCCCCACAATCTTTCTGTATATAAGGTCTACCTTGTCTCCATTAAGATGTTTAGATTCTTATAATCTAGCCACTGCACAGATTTTCACAATCTAGCCAATAGCCCACAGATGCTCACATTCCTTAAGAGTATAACTAATGTGGCTAATCTTCAATAAACTTTGTTTTTGGCTGAAAGAAGACTTGGGTCAAATTCTTTTGGGCAGGACCTGAGTGTTGTGATTTTGGGATTCCAGGACCATTAACCTCTAGATCTCATCACTCCTAACCATCTAAACCCACCTGGCAGCACCACATGTATTACATACTTAAGTCCTAAAAGCAACAATCAATATTCCTAGGTAATTCACTGTTATCTCAACAACAAAAGTCCATATGTATACATCAGTATTTGCTGTGTGCTTACTGAACCTTTCATGAATTAGTAGTGTTTTCCTTAAAGTTGGAAGGGGGAAGATAGTGAATTTTATATTAAACTAATTGATTAACTGTTTTTTTTTCCTTATGAAGAATTTAGAATTTAAATAAAAAAAATTAACTATAACAAATAAGGAAATAAATATTCACAAATAAGCATACATGCCTGAGACTGGAGACCCCCTTTAGGGATTAAAAAATCTAAAGAACCTATAGATTTCCAATAGTGAAATGTATTTTTAAAAGGGTTTGAAGACTTGGCCTTGTTTGACAAAATATACTCAGGATTCTTAGACAACGAAAATGCCTTGGGAAAAAGTTAGAGAGTTGTGCTTTAAACAGATAGCATTTTGTTAAAATAAAATATGAAATATATCTGATCATTCTAGGCTACTTTCAACTTTTTGGTTTTTCATGTTCTTTGCTGAAGTGGATATTGCAAAGAGGAAATTCATTTATTGAGTCCTACTAACAGGAAGGCTATTTCTGAGAATGAATGAAATGTCTGCATTTGGAAATGAAAAATAAAATGCAAATGTAGCAAAAATATACAATTTGGGTTGATTACAGTAGGAGGTCAACTTGGCAGATGAGATGCTTGAAATAGATTATGAAAATTGTATAAGTTAATTCTGTTGCATGCTGAGATATTATGGGCAGTGCTTCTAAAGCCTGGGACCAGGAAGCATGCAATTACTATGGTTACTATAAAAGATGTGTATGTGGTCTCCCAACAATAGGCTAAAAATGTACTCTCTTGACCCCTATAAGGGCTAGGTTGTTTTTTTTTTTAACTTCTAAATTTGCTTAGCATGGAGCCATTTCTAAAAATCCATTTACATAGGATAAAAAGCCCCCAAATAGTGGGGTGCTTACAGCATGTGTAAGTTTTCAACAGGCACGTGTCAGAAGACTCAAGATACCACTGATTTTCACATTTATTCAAGTGAAACAATGATCCAAGCTTTATACATTCCTCCTGAAGTGATCAAGCTACATTTATTTACCTACTAAATGTTTTCAGATATGGAAAGCTTCACAAATTTGCATTTTATCTTTGCACTGGAGTCAAGCTAATTTTTCCTGTATCATTCCAATTCTAGTGTATATGCTGCCAAAGCAGGTGTTCAGGAAGGACTAGAACCTCTAACAGGAATGGAGAACCTGCAGCCTTGAGGCCACATGTGGCCCTCTAGGTCCTCAAGTGTGGCCCTTTGACTGAATTGAAACTTCACAGAACAAATCCCCTCAACAAAAGGATTTATTCTGTAAAACTTGGACTCAGTCCACTTAGGACTTAGAAGGCCACTTGTACCTTCGAGGCTGCAGGTTCCCCATGGCCTCTCTAGCAGGAAAGCTTGCCAAAGGCCTTTCCAGGGCTGCTCACCCACTTTGGTTTCCACTTGTCACCCAACTTTCATCTATGGCTGCAAAAAACTGTAGCACGCACAGCTACTTTACCCCAGGAAAACCGTTTTAGCAGACAGGTTAAACAAGGTTGAGGTCTCAAAACCATTGGTGAGTTAGGAGAATGCCTACCCCAAGCATGTGAAGTCTTCTTCTGGGGGAATGGTGAGATGAGAACATTTTGTTCCAAGGGCCTTGAAGGCAACCAAACCAAGTGCTACTGAGTACTTAAAGCTCCATCAGACATCAAAGATGCCAAGGTCATCCACTGTAGTGGATCATCACCAGTAGTTCCAATTTTTGTCTTGCCACTGAACATAGAAGATTTTGGAAGAGATAGTGATGCTGGTGACTTTGGGCAACTCTGTCGCACTTAAATCCAACTCACGCGCAAGTAAAGATATCACTCAAAAGTGATGTCATTAGTTTTCTTCAAAAATGAATAACAACAAATATTTTCAGATAAAAGTGTGTCTTGTGTGTTCCTGTATGCATTTCGAAAACTTGGGTTCAAGTCACACCTTAGACAGCTATTAGCTATGTGATTCTGCACGAGTCACCTAGCTCCTCAATTCTTCAGACAGTGCTCTAGAATTGTAAATTGCAGAAGGGTTCTTATTTGCATTTATAGAGGGAATTTTTTTTTTTTACTGAGAATTCCTTTTACAGAAAGTATCATATATACATATACACATACATACACACATATGTATAAATACATACATATGTATATGTATATATGTGTATATAGTGTTAAAATTTATGGGTGTAAATATATACTTTCTCGTTACATATGATAAAACATGAAATTATAAAACATATCACAGGCTCATCTATTGAGATATTTTTCTCCTTAAAAATAGATAAAAATGTCCCTTTAAGTATTAAGAATCTTTATGCATCCATTTACTCCTTTTCATATGCTCATTTTAATGAAAAGAATGTCAAGAATTACTGCTTCTTATCTCATATGACTACTTTCCTACTCCTAGAAAATTTTGGAGGGGATAATCTATCAAGGGAATAAGATGGAGAGAAGGGAAGGGGTAAATTTTGGAGAAGAGTACAGTATTTTGCCACAACCATATCTTTATAGTAATACAATTGCCTGAAAAGGATAAAGGGAAATTCTACTGTACTTATTGTTTGTGGACTAAAATGTATTTTATTTGTGTAGCTATTTATTATTCCCTGAAATAGAAAAGAAATGCTTAAATTTTAAAAGTGCCACTACATAAGTATTGATATTCTTTGCCTTGAATATAAATCAACCATCAACAAGCATTTATTAAACATCCAGCATAGGTTGGACACTGAGGAATGTACCAGGGATAGAAATACAAAAGTGAGACAGTTCTTGTCCTCAAAGGCATTAACATAATCTACTCACTACCAGAGTCTCCAAAGATTTGAAATCGAGATTTGCCCAAAAGGCAGTGGAGACAGAAATGGAAAGAATAATTGTTCCAAACTTATTATTCAAGGACCAAAATTTTTGGTCAAATAAGCACTGCATATTTTTTTTGGTTGTTTGTTTGATTCATTTTAGTGATATTTGTACTTCCAATTATGCATAGGATCTCAATAGAGATCCATTGACTAATAAAGGAAATGGGCTGATCATATAATGGGAATGTGGGATACAATCACCAGACAGCTCACATGAACCATTGCTATATATGTAGTGCCAAGAAAAATAGAGGAATGGCTATTAATTTGTTGGACCATTGCCTCCCCACCCCAAAATTTATAGAATGATATAGATAAGTATCACACAGGGTGAGAAGACATGGAGTTTCTTTTATTATGTACCCTCTAAAGAGTACCCACATTGATGAGAGTACAAATCCATCCAAGTTTTACAGTTCTTTGATTGAAAGTGAGCTACTTGAGAGCAGGGATTGTTGTTGTTGTTGTTGTTGTTACTGTTGTAACTACTAATATTAATATCTTTACATCTTCGGTGTTTAGTGCAGTGATAGGTCACTGGTAGGTGTTTAGTTTGTGTGTGCAGATTCTTGAAGTGTGAGAGAGAGGCACAAGAAAAAATAAAACAAAACAAAACAAAACAAACAAGAAAAAACAAACAAACAAAAAAAGCTGAAGCCAGAGGGTTATAAAGCACTGACAACATGAAATACAACAGAAATGATAATGTTTTGGGAAATTAAAATTTGGTTTGGTAAAATTGTTGAACAGATTGTTTTACATGCAAATTTTCAGGAAAATTAATGTTATGTACATGAAGCTACACCTATATGGCCCTCACACCCTCAAAATCACACTGGGCTTTTTAATATGCTAGATGGGTAAATGTGTTATTGTTTGCAGGCTCTATGATGTCTGTGAGGGGGAAAGATTATCTTAAAATGAATGACACAAAATTTCAAAAGGAAATTACAGTGGCTGAGCATCTTAGATACCCCAGGATTTGCATGGAAATCATCATGGGAATGAAGGATGAACACATCATAGAGGTGAGGGGGTCATTATCTATATCCTCTGAATCATTTACTGAGTTTTTTTTTAAGTGACTAATGACATTCAGGCAGCCTTAGAATTCAGATAACTAGGAGGCAATTAACTGCCTAAGTGCTTCTCAAAAGCTTGGCCTGTCAGGCACAATTTGAGATGAAATTGTGATTGCGGGGTTTTCATGATAAAAGTCAAGAAAGCACTACTGGGATCAGCCAAATTCCCCCGAACCAAAAAAATATGACATTAACACTAGGCTTTTATCTTTATAGATGCTAATTCATGGTAATTGAGGCTTCATGGGATTTTTTTTAACCTAAAATGTCATGCCAGGGATGATCTGATAAAGACATGCAGAGATTTCTATTTATTGTTGCTATAAGGGATAGTATAGCTGATTTCTCTAAATGTGAGATTAAGTTCAATAAATAATATTGATTAAATACATATTATTTGAAAGGCACTATACTGGGCAAAAGGGGTTGCAAAGACAAAATAAAATTAGAAAAAAAGCAATCTTTGCTTCAAAGATACTTATTTTCTACTGAGGATACACACATACACACACATGCAAATATATATACATACATGCATGTGTGTGTGTATATACATATATATATGAGAGACAGAGAGAGAAAAAGAGAATGAGAGAGCGTTGTTGTTCAGTCATTTTCAGTCTTATCAGAGAGTAAGTGATATCATTTGGGATTTTCTTGGCAAAGATAATGGAGTGATTTGCCATTTCCTTTTGAGCTAATTTGACAGATCAGGAAACTGAGACAGACGGGGTTAAGTGATTTGCCTACCGTCACACAGCTATTAAGTGTCTAAGGCCAGTTTGGGGAGTCAAGATGGTGGAGTAAACAATAAGTTGCTGTCTCTCTCCCATATTCACCTCAAAAAACAACAACAACAAAAAAAAAAACAGTGCACCACAACAAATCCTGGAACACTGGAGCCAGCAGAAAGACAGGGTAGAGCAGTCTTTTATCCTGGGAAACTTGGAGGATCAGCAAGAAAAGTCCATTTCATTCAGGTAAAAGGGGAGCACATTCCAGGACAGGCTCTGGATTCGGGAGGACCTGGTTTCAAATCCGGCCTCAGACCAAACACTTGACACTTACTAACTGTGTGACCCTGGACAAGTCACTTAACCCCAATTGCCTAAAAAAACAAAAACAAAAACAAAAACAAACCAACACTATCTGAATTCATTCTTCCATACTCAGTGCATGTCATATACTCCATCCAGTGATTCCAAACCCCAGATTGCCAGTATTCACATTCACATCTCTTTTCTCCATTCCAGAATGACTGCTTCTCTATTCCAATCTTCCTCCACCCAACCATTCTAATGTCTCACTCTAAAGCTATCCAAACCTTCCATGATCTCTGACATACCTGCCTCAGAGGTAACAAACTACTTCATCTTAAACCTTTTTCCCTTTTCTGCTCCCTTTCACTTCTGGAAATCACTGAGAAATTGCTTCCTTTCTGATGACATAGCTTCCCTTGTTACCCTTTCCAGAACTGTTTGCTCTGTTTTTCATACCCAGGTTCTCTGGTCATGGTGGAAAGTTGGAATAACCTTTGCTCCTTATTTACAATTGCAGGTTCTCCCTCTCTTGCTGTAACTCAGTAACCACTCTTTGTTTGAAGTGCATTCAATCCATATTTATCATCCAATAAAGATTCTGATCACTGGTTTCTAAGTCCCTCCCTGACACTATCCTTTGTTACTCAATGAGGTCAGTGTCTTGGCTCATAGTCTTTCTCCTTCCCAACTCCTGCCCCCATACTAAGGAACTTTAGCACACATATTGATATTCCTTCTAATACTTTAACTTCCAAATACTGCAATTTACTCATTTCGCATGACCTACTCCTCCATTCCACCGTGGCTAATCACAGAGATTTTCAAACCCTTGATCCACAACTGTTCCACCACCATTTTCATGAACTCTGAAATTCCTTTATCTGATTATAATATGTTATCATTCCATCTCTCCCCCTGCCTTGGAAAACTAATTTTTTTTCTACAATTCCAAAATAACTCTAATTTATTTCCATGCCTTCACATCTGCACAGACTATAATATATTCCCTTTCTTATATGGACCCCTTGATGAAACAGTTTGTCTTATACTGTCCTCACACTAAAAGTCCCTTATTCTTTTATCTATCAAAGATCTTGACATTTAAAACCCCAACTTTGGATTATTCCCATCATCTACTTATTTCT